GAGAGGTTTGAAAAAACGCTACCTCTCTTGGTGTTAAGAAAGCCTTATAAACTTGGCAGGCCCATTGGACGTAAAAGTCTCTAAAGCTTGGTTTTCTCTTCCTACCGATTACAAGGTAAAGTGTAAAAGTCTCATCTTGGAAGGAAACACTTCAAGGCTGCTGAAAACCCTTCGATGGCCTACACTCTTCAGCCAGGCTGAGAATCAAATGTGCAGGTTTAGAGTAACATTGTGATTAGTCTCCACTAAAATATACTGCGATGTCTCGTTTTATACCAACTGAAACAAAAGGAAGCACATTCGGTTGGAAAATACTACAAACGAGAGTTTCAGCTGGGATTCAGTTGGTTCTCTTGTCAAGATCGCAGGGGATTTTAAACAAGAGTAGCTATCGAAGATTAGTGGATGTATCGAAGTAATTATGCCACTTACACGTCCGTTTAGTCTGATTTTCTAACCATTTGACACCACAGGCAAATTGAGGTTTAATGTATTCGTTACATCTTGTCCGTAGTTTCTGTAAGCCTTCAAAAAACCTTTTACGTGTAGCCATTAAACCAATTTTTTGCTGCTTAACTCACCTCTAGATCGATCTAACAACTGTACCTTTCAAGCTCTTTTTACAATTCAGGAACGTGAAACGGTCAGGTGGATAGGATGAACTGTCAACGTAACTAAATGCCAGATTCACCCAATCACCCGTGGTTTTATGGGCATTTTGAAAGAAGTAGAAGGAAAATCCACTTCTGCTACTTTCCTTTCCATCTTTTTTCACTGCTCATTTTAACAGACAATTTAAAATAGTATTCTACAATGACGGTTTGACCCTTTGGAAGATAGCCAGTCCTACCAACATGTTAGTGTCTGTTACTCTGTTCGCCGAGCCAGGCAATTAATTTTCAAAAGTTTCGTAGCCGTTCAGGGCGACATCTTCAGTGCGCTTTTGGGTCGGTAGCCCCTCTATTCGTGCTTGCGTTTATATGGTTTACATAGAGCAGCTTTTGTGCTGTAACCTGGATGGCCATTTATAATCGTCGTACCTGGATTCTGGTTGAGCCGATCATAATCTGTGTTGCGTTGTGGTTTTCGTTTCTTGCTGACTACGACCACGCTACCGTGGAAATTGCCGCCCACTGTTGTCCCTTCCAATTGGTCCGTTTGTGATATGCGTTGCATCGTGGTCGACTTCTCTGTTGTTTGATTGGTTGGTGGTGTACGTTCTGTCTTTCCTAGTTTGTAGTCCTGTTAATTTCTTTAAATCCTTCTTCAGCTCCGGGTTTTATGGCTCTGGGTTTCTTCGGAGGTTGATAGACAGGATCGATCTATTGCTGTTCATCGCTCCATGAACTCGCGTTCTTTCTTTGTTCTTACCTAACCCAGTATGCTGCCGTTATTACAATCGAATTTGTGTCCTTCCCTATCTTCGTGTGCGGAGATGAGCGGGAGTCTAGTAGCCAGCTTGTGTTCGTTGACTGTGGTTGACAGTTCCCTCCTTGTTTGTCCCACGTAGTGCTTTTCAAAATCCTCACACTGAATTTTCTGGATCACGTTTGTCTTATCCATTGCATTAAGTATTGATATCGCTGTCATTCTGTCTGTGGGCGATTCTTATAGCAAGCTGTCGTAGTATCCTTCTCGAATGATGACGAAACGTTTGCAAATCAATTGCCAAACACGGCGAACAGATCAGCAGCCACCTGATCAATTACCAACTAATGCACCTGGGTTACCAGTATCCCAACGAATTACCATACTAACATGCGCCTGATCCTGAGACTTTGTGGCGGTGGCCTCTCTTGGTGACTTCTGTCTTTAGTCTGATAAGTATGGTCATTCTGCCATGTTGACGTAAGTAACAGCTATAACATTTGGCACCCTCTCGCAGAAGGTGCTGCAAAAATGTCGTTCCTCGACGCCACTGAAACGTCTTGACACTGCTTTTTCCAACAGCCTTTTGATATCCAGATGTCCGATCCCTGGATATCCCAGGTTGCCCTGCAACGTCTCTTTATATTCAACGAACTGCCATAAATAGTTCATGGGTCAGGTCCGGAGTCGACTTTGACTGGGCTCGCTCCGACCATCCTGCAACTTCTGTTTGAAAATCTCCCAGCTCAAAGTCAGTACATCAGTTTTTGACAGTTGAGTCTGAACGGCACTGGTTCATCAAGATAATAAACGTGCACCATTCTCAGTTATGGATTTCTAAGTAAACTTTAGGCTGGATCAAGAGCCTTTCAGCACCCAGTTGTAATGACTACAACACGAGAAGCTCAAACGTGTCAGAAAGTGTTTAACAAGGTAATTTTTGTTTTCTGGTGCTGTGGTAACCGCCAAATTCAGTAATCAACGCCTTAAACGAGACAACTGATTGTATGCGGTCAACGGAAGGACCTATGATCAGCAGGCGTCATGAAGTCCATAGTGCTGGGTTTTGTGTCTTAACTCCACACTGAAAGTAGCGTTGCTCAATGAACTGCAAAGTTTCCTATCGTCCAGGCATCCTAAATGTGAGCCGCCGTAATTCACTTTGTGAAAAATCTAGAGCGCAATCAGCTGTTTGTAAAAGAAACAATTTTCTCGAGGCATAAGATAACACCGTGTTCGATATGTTCCATTGACTTGTTCATCGTCTTAGTGTGATAAGAGCCTGAATCACTCAATATTTAATTGTAAAAAAGCCGCTAATACTTTTCTCTTTTTTTACACAACAAATTTCCGTTGCCCGCCCTCAATAGGCCGCATCGTTATACAACATTCGATATGCGGATCCGAAAGGTACCCATGTCTGTGAGCTTGCAGTACTAAAATGAACTAAATTCTCACCAAAAACCAGCAAAGCTTCATCCTTTACGAGTCAAAAAGATTTACTCTGGAACTACCCTGAGAAACCTTTACCCTCTTGGTCCTTAAATGTAGATAGCTACTTAATTGGAAGGAAGCCTCTGAACAATCTTTCGCTTTTGCCAGCTAGGTCCTTGTGACTAGTGCTCCAAATTGTTGAAGAATCCTTTTGGTGACGTAGTTTTGCAACGGATAAAAAAAATACTTGGAAGTACTTCTTAGGAATACCAGGTAGGAACTTTGGAAAATGTTTTGTTTCGCCGAGCAAATTGGTCGAACTGTTCAAGTGACGGTAGCCTAATGGACACGAAGATACGAGTGTTTTCATTTTAGCTACTATCACAGGTATGAGTAGCTTGAAATGATTGTTTATTTGCACTTCAGGCTTCCTCTCTGGTTGAGATCTACTCTCGGCACATCATACATGCAATGCAGCCATACTAAGGTATTGTTTGAAGAAGTCGAAAAATTACCTTCAAAGGCGTTTCTCCATAATCCACCTCAACCAAACCTCCTTCCTCGGACTGGGCAACCGGGAAGTATCATTTACCCGTGCAGTTCAACGTCCACCGATGTCCCTCCCCAACCCCTTCCCACTGCACAAGAAAACATCGCTGGGCCATTTGACTGTCAGTCATCAGTCCAATATCCATCTTTGCCCAGTGGCTGGGGGGCTAATTTATGGGTCTCTAAAATCCCTCTGCACCCATCCGAACACGATGGTACCTAAATGCTTGCTGAATTTTGCACTAAAGTACGATAGCTCATAGTCTATTCAACACGGTCCATGAGTTTAAGCTACAGATGATATTTACTCGTCAAAACCCACCTTGAATTCTTCACATTTGCAGTGACAAAATAACGATAATCTCAGCTATAACACTGTTTTTGCAATTAAAACTGTCAGGCAAATGGTTTTTATCAAGTGATCACATTAGCCCCACAAGAGGCATGTAGATAGCAAAGTGAGTAGGTGATAGTGACCCGCAAAAGCGCAACAATTCGGTCGAGTTTGAGGACCACTGATGTTAAGCAGGGCAATAGAATGGCCAAAAACAAACTGAAACCTCCAACAATGACCCTTCTACTAACAAGACTAGTGAGGCGCTAGGAAAGCACCTGGTTTACATTAGTCTGTTCTCAATCAAGAGTGTTTCAGGTTGTGTGCTCGGTTATTCCAAATTTCACATAACAGGTTCCTCGGTCGTTTTGAAGCCTGAATTGGCATAAAGGACACAGAAGACGTGTGATGATGAAATTGATGTGGTCGCGTGGCACTCGATACGGGTTCGCCTCCTGACGCTAATCCGATCACTGAAAGCTTGTGTATATCTGTGACGACACAAACAGTTTACTCAAAACCGGATTTTTTAGCGGAAAGGAGTCTTTTAGTAACATTCAAACCAGAGCAGTAACGTCGGCAGAAAAACTCGCAGGGACCTGTTGAGTACAAGCTTAAATCTAAGCCTGAACCAAATTAAACACTGTCATCCGCCAATTCCTTCCCGTTTCAGTATAATAGACCGCACTTTCCGTGGACAACATCGTGCAAGCAATACCGCCGCGTGCTGCCCAAGACAAACCATCGCGGTTGACACGAGTAAACAGACAGTGCAGTTGGAGTATCAAAGTTTCTAGCTAAAAATAGAAAATAACGTAACTCCCTCGGAAAATGCCACATCCAGCTTTGCACAGGCGGTAATGATTTTTTACTTTAGCCTATTCAGTACACTTTTAACCTTTTCCCCCGGAGAGCGGACAGTCACTGGCGAAGCAGCATTTATTGTCAACAGTTCAGACTCGCCTATAATCATGATACTTACGTTTATGCCTTTTCTGTGGTTGGAGTTTCCGTTAGGAAACCCTGAAGCTGGTTCTCAGGCATTTTCAGTTCAAGTTCGTCTTTTCAATTATTTCAGTTGAAAATTACAGAAAAGATGTGCACTGTTCCAATAAAATTGTCAGCCCGGTAAAGAAAGGAAAGAAATCACGAAACGTTTGGGTGCTGTCGGTGCTACTCGCCTTCCAGGATAGGGACCGCGTGATCCTCACTGTGCCTGGTTGGAGACACTACAAGATGTGGCTGTCAACCGATGTCAGTGGCGTTCTTGTTGTCAGTTTCTATCCAGATTGCCTTAGTGAATGTCTGGAGGTGTAGGCACCTCGGAATGATTGTGTTAAGCCAGCACTAAGTCCCTCCCCCGTCCACCTTTATTTTTTTCTTTACAATAAGGCATTCAAATAAGTCATGGTTGTACGGCAGTGAAGCATCGGTGTTGAACACTGATGTCATGCTGTCGATGATGCTGATGAGTCGTTCTTACCTTGTGATTCCGTTTATATGTGGGGCAAATGGGGCGTTGCTAGTCAGTGAATTTATATATAACGTCACTCAAACGGAACATACTACTGGTAAGGTTGCTGAAGTAATTTCGACAGCCCAGTGCACCCTTCTTCGAATCCACCAGCTAGATTCCATCAACAATGTTTTCTGTTTGAAAATCAGTTGGAAATATGTTGCTAAATACACTTACTTGTACACTAATTAGGTTCTAACGCTAGGGAAGCATCGGTGTTCAACACGATGTCATGTTTGTCGATGACGATGATGATGATGATGATGATGATGATGATGATGATGACAAGGAATGCATATCCTTACTGTTGAAGGTGGATAAATCATGCATTTTTTGACGCTGAGTTGCATCGCCGCTTTTCATAATATTGTGAGTGAACTTTTAGGCTAGCCCCATAAGAATTCAGAGTCTTTTTCAGGAGAACTGACTGAAACTAGGCAATCTACTCTTACAATAATAGAGCTTGTGAAACCAGGGCGAACAGTTTCTTCACCAACCAGGATGCATGTTCATGTTGGTCCTTCAGACAGGGTAGGAACTATTTCTAATCTGACATCCTGAAAACAAGAAAATGGTGTATAATGTACACTTACGACGATTTTGGTTTTTCACCTAGTGTCAAAGTTCATCAACAACTTCTGTGTGCAACTTTGAACACATCAGTACCGCGTTCAATTTTACAAGGCGGCAGAATACGCTAACACTGGACTTCTTCACTGACTCAAGGTCAGGCTCCACGGTCTTGGAACTCGCCGGGACCGCTAAAGTAACCAACATAGATCAAGCAATTCACTTGAGCTACAGGGTGTCCACAAATCCAACAAAATTTATGAAAACTCAGCTCTTAGATGCAGTTGAAACAATACCAGTCCTGATAGTTTCGCTCCAAGAAAATTGGACTAGAAGTGACACACTACTGAAAACTACTTGACAGTGGTTTCGTCCTTCCCGTCAATCTGAATAAAATTGGCAAACTGCTCTCGTTTGTACTTCAATATTGCTCTAACTGGAAGCTCAACTGAAGCCAGCTGGATCTTCCGTTTATGCTGGCCTTTTTCAATTGAGTGTGTCGCGTCATGCCATCTCATATTTCATTTGGTGCGATATTCAAGATATCGCAACACATTGCACTACTCACAAGGTCGCTGAAAATTCTCTGACCGCTCATGACCATAGCAACAGACGTGTCCAGTCGAATCGTCAATATCCAAAAGGGAGCGAAATTTCATGCTTTGGACATCCGGTGCCATCATGATCAACCTATGACTCAATCGATTGCAATTCGTCTCAGCTGTTTGACCTACAGCTCTACGGTCTGAGCTGAACTCGAGACAGGTCGTTGGTTAGGGCGCGAACCTACTGACCGGAGGATTATTGGTTCCAGCCCAACATCTCTATCTCTGTAGGCTCGGGCAACCTGACAGTCTCAGCCCTTGCTCTTCCTTCAAATCGCATAGCAGTAATGCACCGAAAGGGTGAAGTTACAGCTGAGGAATCATTGTTACTTTTCTATTATGAAATTCCCGACGCAAACAACACTTTTTTCTGACATCCGAAAATTTCTATTCGTAAATCAAATAAAAAACATACCCGTAAGATAAAGATGGTTTCTGATCGCATTTTCCATTAACGAACATGCTCAGAATAAAGTTTAGAGTTGGCGAAATACACTAATTTGCAAACCAATTCGGTTTTTCAAGAGACTCACCTCGAATCCAGCTGAGCCTCTCGTTTCTGATGTTTTTAAGCTACACCAGATTGCCTCATGTTTCAGTTGGCGCGATATTCGAGATATCACGATACATTGCATAGACCTACTGCACTACTTATACGGTTGCTGGGAGTTCTTCGACAGCCCACCAAGCTGTCGAAGGAGTGTGAGCTGGTTCGTAGGACAAATCAGGCTATTTAGTCCAGATCTAGGCTGGTTGGTAATGAACGCAGCTGGTTAATGGGAACGTGCGTTTCCAATGCCTCATACCATTTCCCTCCTCGTTCATAGAGCACTGCACTTCATTCTAAGAGCTATTATCTCACCAATATGCAATCGTCTTTGTTGAGACTATATCAGACATTTTGCACTGCGTCTAAATTGAGACTGACTGTTCGCTGTGCCATAAGTGTGGCACGGAGCAGATTGGCAGATGGTTACCCGATGATTTAACTTACATAGCAGATTTAGATTTTACTGTCTTCGGTGTACATGTGCCTCCGAATGAGAGGCACCGTGGTTACCACCGTGGTTAAACCGTGGTTACCACACACAAAGAATGGCACCATCAACCCGAGGCATCAAGCTCGGTTTTGTTGCAATACAGTGTAGAGGTGACGTGGTCTGTTCATGGTATTTTATAAGCATCAAATGGTACAATAACTCGAGGTGCTTTTTCGTTCAAGATGTGCTTGTTTTGTATTCACAACAGTCCAAAGTTTCGTTTTTGAGTCTCTGCAGACGTAGGCTGAATTGACCACGGCCTATGTTGGTTTGTAAATTGACCGGAAATTTTTCAACAAACACGTAATCGACTTCCAAACATCTCGTTAACTGTCAGGTCTTATAAGGGGATTCATAACCGGCCATTCATGATGAGTGGGTGCCAATCCTGGTTAAGTGATGGAACGAGCCACTTCCCTTAAATGGGCTTTTAGCCTAGTTGATTGGTTCCTTGATATATGATATACAGCTTGACAACTAACTTGCAAGCACTCTATCACCAATCGGCTACTTGATCACCCGCTAATGAACACACAACAAGTTTTCAGACCTCTGAACAAGACTGCATTTCACATGAGGTAGTCACATGATATTCACGGGCCAGTTTAACAAGTATCGTAGAACCCTTCGTTTCACATCTTTACTCCGGAGACGTTTTCAGGGTCGACTTCTCAATAATGAACCCTTTCTCTTACTCTAATGGCCCCAACACTGACTTTAACAGTCAGAAGTCCTGACAAGCTGGCAATTCTCTGTCGACTTTTTATCCAACCGATCACATCAGCTTGATCAATCAATGAAATCCACAAGAATGTCCCACTAACGTGAGCTCTGGATGTGCATACTTGGGATAAGTAAGGGGACACGTAAACAGATGACACCTCCTGGCTCCAGATACCACATCAAACTACATCGAAGTTAGTCTGTATGCGAGGACCCGGCAAGTTCATTGTCTGGATGTTGGCATCCTCCAGAAAATTTGAATAAACACTTCGAAGATGGTTTAGACGTAACAGAGCAGTTGGTGAAAATCGACCCTGTCAGACTGATTTAGTGAATAAGTGGCTTCGCCTGGTTCAAGTGTACGGTAAAGTCTTTCCTAGGTGTGTGGCAACCGAGACGTGCACCAACGGTAAACAGATCTAACCGAACATCTCATTGTGGGAATAGAACTTTGTAGGGTATTGTAGCTGGGAATGGTTAGCGGAAGTTTGCCGATCTGAAAAATGAAGGGCAAGAGACATAGTGATGGATCAAACCTTTCAATAATGAAGAATGGTACAAATTCAAGCATATCTGAGTGAGATACGATCAGATAAAAGTATTGGAATGCTTTAGAAGTGCAGATGAGTATAAGAACTAGGCCCTCCGAGATATATGGTACGTCATGTTTCGTTTGACTTTTTCTGCCGAATTCCAGAAGCTTAATTCTCCCCTCAAGCGAATTTGAGTTAATTTTGCCCGAACTTGAAAGTAAACAATGAAAAACTTGAGGGCTCTTAAGTCAGTGCGCGATACCTGAACAAGCAAACCATTATTTTGGTGATGTGCTACTCATAAGGTTGCTGAAAATCCGTCGACAGCCGACGAACGGTTTCGCCCTTTTTAAGGCTCATCAGGTAGGCGTAGTCCCTGGGTTTCCGTCAACCTTATGTTCTACTTGAAACTTGCCTCAGAAAATCACGAACGAGAGATTTAGCTGAGTTCTAGGTGAGTCTCTCGAAAAACCAAATTAGTTTGCGAATGAGTGTATATTCATTATTTTGGTGATTGAGTTTCGTCCTCTGCAACATGCTGACTTCTTAAAGTCACCCGATTGGTTTCTCGGATACAGTCAATAATTTTGCATATATTTAAGAACCAAATTTCTTTAGGTTACGCAGTAAACCATATCTATGTTAGGCTACGAACACTGTCCTCTGAAACAGCAGGTGGGCTGGAAAAGGCCGACATGCAGTTTGACGGAGATTCAAACTCGTGACTCCGAGATGATAATTCTCAACGTTAACAGTGCGGCCGTCATTGCCTGGATTAACCACTGTATTTCATCGCTTCCTCATTTTTATTAGGTACCTTTTGTTCCAACTGTTTGCTGCATATTTTTCCCGGTGAAACCGTCCGGGCAGACTGGGCTAGCACTATACATTAACGCGAAGCTTGATTCCGCTTGTAGGTTTAATGCATTTGTTGCGTTGGTCGACCTATCAGCTGACCCAATATCGATCACGACTCATGACATTAACTTTGGTCCAAATAAGTATTGACAGTGTTTAATCGATTCAAACCATCCGCTTCTGATCGATAAACGATTCTCAATCAGTGAGGCAGAAGTATGTTCACTCATTCACTGGTCAGTGACGCCACTTGTTAACCCATTCCTCTCCAGAGTCTGACTTGGGTAGAGAAAAACTCTGCACTAGCAACATCTTCTGTCTGATGATGCGTAAAGTGTCCCGCTTGTTTTTGAGCCTTCAATTAATTTGGCTGCTTACCTCGGAGCATCTTTTAGCCTGGCCTACTATACAAATTCCCAGAGACATGTGGGAGCCGGGAATTTTTCCGCCTGACGTTCCCCGACTTTCTGCAAAGAATGCTATTGCTGTCTCCAATATGAATGAACGAGGCAAACCGCCAGTTATGCAGGATTTGTCCCATATATTTGGCAAGCTTGAAATGGATGACGAATACACAGTTCCTGAGTTGCCAAATTTTGCTGTGGTTACTGATGAGAAACAAGAAAGCATAGAGGATAACAAGGCGGATGAGAAAGCTGACGACGAACTGGATCAGATCATTGGTGAGGAACAAGTACCCCAGAAAGGTGCCAAGCTACTCTCCGGTTTATACGGTACATACGGTACTTATGGTCCGGCAGCCGTCAGCTTGGTGCCGGTGGTTCAGACAGCTTATCAGGCACAAGCCTATGTCCCGGTGGCCGTACCTGTGCACCCCGTGGTTCACGTCCAGCCAGTTGTGCAAGTGCCCAAATTGGTTGCTGTAATGCAACCCACGGGTCTTGTTCAGTCCAGTGTTGTCAGTAGTCTACAAAGCCAGCAGTCGGTTATCGCCGGGGCACAACCCACAGTCACGGATCAGCAAAGCCGGATGACAATCCCGCAACAAGTCATCCAGCCACAGCCGGTTGTTCAGCCGTCTCAGGTCGTTCAACCACAGCCCGTCGTCCAAGCGCAGCCGGTTATCCAATCACAACCAGGCGTGCAGACGCAGCCCGATTTTCAAACTCAAGGTCGCATGCAACTGCCCGACACAAATGGAGTGAACACACAAACTGGCACCTCACAAACGCTTCCAAACATCTCGTTAACTGTCAGGTCTTATAAGGGGATTCATAACCGGCCATTCATGATGAGTGGGTGCCAATCCTGGTTAAGTGATGGAACGAGCCACTTCCCTTAAATGGGCTTTTAGCCTAGTTGATTGGTTCCTTGATATATGATATACAGCTTGACAACTAACTTGCAAGCACTCTATCACCAATCGGCTACTTGATCACCCGCTAATGAACACACAACAAGTTTTCAGACCTCTGAACAAGACTGCATTTCACATGAGGTAGTCACGTGATATTCACGGGCCAGTTTAACAAGTATCGTAGAACCCTTCGTTTCACATCTTTACTCCGGAGACGTTTTCAGGGTCGACTTCTCAATAATGAACCCTTTCTCTTACTCTAATGGCCCCAACACTGACTTTAACAGTCAGAAGTCCTGACAAGCTGGCAATTCTCTGTCGACTTTTTATCCAACCGATCACATCAGCTTGATCAATCAATGAAATCCACAAGAATGTCCCACTAACGTGAGCTCTGGATGTGCATACTTGGGATAAGTAAGGGGACACGTAAACAGATGACACCTCCTGGCTCCAGATACCACATCAAACTACATCGAAGTTAGTCTGTATGCGAGGACCCGGCAAGTTCATTGTCTGGATTTTGGCATCCTCCAGAAAATCTGAATAAACACTTCGAAGATGGTTTAGACGTAACAGAGCAGTTGGTGAAAATCGACCCTGTCAGACTGATTTAGTGAATAAGTGGCTTCGCCTGGTTCAAGTGTACGGTAAAGTCTTTCCTAGGTGTGTGGCAACCGAGACGTGCACCAACGGTAAACAGATCTAACCGAACATCTCATTGTGGGAATAGAACTTTGTAGGGTACTGTAGCTGGGAATGGTTAGCGGAAGTTTGCCGATCTGAAAAATGAAGGGCAAGAGACATAGTGATGGATCAAACCTTTCAATAATGAAGAATGGTACAAATTCAAGCATATCTGAGTGAGATACGATCAGATAAAAGTATTGGAATCCTTTAGAAGTGCAGATGAGTATAAGAACGAGGTCCTCCGAGATATATGGTACGTCATGTTTCGTTTGACTTTTTCTGCCGAATTCCAGAAGCTTAATTCTCCCCTCAAGCGAATTTGAGTTAATTTTGCCCGAACTTGAAAGTAAACAATGAAAAACTTGAGGGCTCTTAAGTCAGTGCGCGATACCTGAACAAGCAAACCATTATTTTGGTGATGTGCTACTCATAAGGTTGCTGAAAATCCGTCGACAGCCGACGAACGGTTTCGCCCTTTTTAAGGCTCATCAGGTAGGCGTAGTCCCTGGGTTTCCGTCAACCTTATGTTCTACTTGAAACTTGCCTCAGAAAATCACGAACGAGAGATTTAGCTGAGTTCTAGGTGAGTCTCTCGAAAAACCAAATTAGTTTGCGAATGAGTGTATATTCATTATTTTGGTGATTGAGTTTCGTCCTCTGCAAGATGCTGACTTCTTAAAGTCACCAGATTGGTTTCAAAAAATACCCGATTTTTCTCGGATACAGTCAATAATTTTGTGTATATTTAAGAACCAGATTTCCTTAGGTTACGCAGTAAACCATATCTATATTACGCAACGAATACTATGTCCTCTGAAACAGCAGGTGGGCTGGAAAAGGCCAACATGCAGTTTGACGGAGATTCAAACTCGTGACTCCGAGATGATAATTCTCAACGTTAACAGCGCGGCCGTCATTGCCTGGATTAACCACTGTATTTCATCGCTTCCTCATTTTTATTAGGTACCTTTTGTTCCAACTGTTTGCTGCGTATTTTTCCCGGTGAAACCGTCCGGGCAGACTGGGCTAGCACTATACATTAACGCGAAGCTTGATTCCGCTTGTAGGTTTAATGCATTTGTTGCGTTGGTCGACCTATCAGCTGACCCAATATCGATCACGACTCATGACATTAACTTTGGTCCAAATAAGTATTGACAGTGTTTAATCGATTCAAACCATCCGCTTCTGATCGATAAACGATTCTCAATCAGTGAGGCAGAAGTATGTTCACTCATTCACTGGTCAGTGACGCCACTTGTTAACCCATTCCTCTCCAGAGTCTGACTTGGGTAGAGAAAAACTCTGCACTAGCAACATCTTCTGTCTGATGATGCGTAAAGTCGCTTGCTTGTTTTTGAGCCTTCAATTAATTTGGCTGCTTACCTCGGAGCATCTTTTAGCCTGGCCTACTATACAAATTCCCAGATGTGGGAGCCCGGAGCATCTTTTAGCCTGGCCTACTATACAAATTCCCAGAGACATGTGGGAGCCGGGAATTTTTCCGCCTGACGTTCCCCGACTTTCTGCAAAGAATGCTATTGCTGTCTCCAATATGAATGAACGAGGCAAACCGCCAGTTATGCAGGATTTGTCCCATATATTTGGCAAGCTTGAAATGGATGACGAATACACAGTTCCTGAGTTGCCAAATTTTGCTGTGGTTACTGATGAGAAACAAGAAAGCATAGAGGATAACAAGGCGGATGAGAAAGCTGACGACGAACTGGATCAGATCATTGGTGAGGAACAAGTACCCCAGAAAGGTGCCAAGCTACTCTCCGGTTTATACGGTACATACGGTACTTATGGTCCGGCAGCCGTCAGCTTGGTGCCGGTGGTTCAGACAGCTTATCAGGCACAAGCCTATGTCCCGGTGGCCGTACCTGTGCAACCCGTGGTTCACGTCCAGCCAGTTGTGCAAGTGCCCAAATTGGTTGCTGTAATGCAACCCACGGGTCTTGTTCAGTCCAGTGTTGTCAGTAGTCTACAAAGCCAGCAGTCGGTTATCGCCGGGGCACAACCCACAGTCACGGATCAGCAAAGCCGGATGACAATCCCGCAACAAGTCATCCAGCCACAGCCGGTTGTTCAGCCGTCTCAGGTCGTTCAACCACAGCCCGTCGTCCAAGCGCAGCCGGTTATCCAATCACAACCAGGCGTGCAGACGCAGCCCGATTTTCAAACTCAAGGTCGCATGCAACTGCCCGACACAAATGGAGTGAACACACAAACTGGCACCTCACAAACGCAACAGCAGCAACAAACAGCCCAGCAGTCATCTGTCACTATCCGACACCAGATAGCTCCGCAACATATCCACATTGTCATCCCAAAATCGAAACAGCCAATGAAAGCTGGCCACTATAAGTCTTACTATTGACCTTAGTGATATGGATCTCATTGATACCTAATGAGCTATTGATTTTGCACAATGGTTTATGGTGGTTTACGAGTAATATACACTGCTTTTGGTGTACAAGTTTCTTTTTCACTTGACTTTGGAGCAAGTTTTTCTCAGTTCAGTGAGGCTGATGAATATTCTTGAAATGCCGTGGTTTGGAGCTTCACGTAGAAGGCATATTCAGTGACTCTCTGAAAGGGAGACCGAATGTTGGTTTTGAAGGCTGAAGTACCTTATTGCGCACCAAGGTGGAAGAAGGGTGAGTTGACGGGTTTCTCTCCCACAAACAGGTTTTGATTGCTTTTTCCGCAAGAAAGTGACTAGGCCCATTCACCAACCTCTAATTCGCCGGGAAGTAGGAATTAGTCACACAAACAGTGAATTTTCCGTCAGAGGATGCATCACCCGAGGAACGTGATCAGTCAGTCACGTGATCACAGTGCCGATGAGCCGTCCGTGGCCGAAATTTCAAATGTTCATACTAGTAGCGGGTTCGGAACTTCATAGAGTTTCGTGAATTTCGTAGTGTCGATTATTCTGAATAAGGATGAAACACCTGTGTATTGCTTCTCGGCTTCTAGGCATGAATTATCTTCATGTACAGGGTGAACTCTACGCGGGAAATTTCTGAATCTCCTTACATTGCCATTAACTAATCGGAGACAATCTCAACTCCCTTCTTCATGGGCCAGACTAATCGACGGACCAAAACCTTCGAAGAATGCATGATTCGAGGAAAAATATTAAATTTGGTCAGTGTTCATACTAGTAGCGGGTTCGGAACTTCATAGAGTTTCGTGAATTTCGTAGTGTCGATTATTCTGAATAAGGATGAAACACCTGTGTATTGCTTCTCGGCTTCTAGGCATGAATTATCTTCATGTACAGGGTGAACTCTACGCGGGAAGTTTCTGAATCTCCTTACATTGCCATTAAGTAATCAGAGAGGGTCTCAACTCCTTTCTTCATGGGCCAGACTAGCCGACGGACCAGAACCTTCGAAGAATGCATGTTTCGAGGAAAAATATTAAATTTGGTCAACCCTTCCGCGAATTGAACAGGCCTTTTTGTAAGCAACAAGTGAGTCGAGATTCGGGTGAAATGTAAGGAACCATTTTTTTTAAATATTCGATCAATAACGTACTGGTGACTACCAGTGGAAGGGGACTGGCGAATTTCAGGAATCTTCTGAATTTGAAATCGATATTCGACTAACCACTTTTCCATTTCTAGCTTGTTCGATTAAGATCACAACAAATGAAACATCGAAGTCCAGTTGTGCTGCAGGCTCCTCAATCCGAGAAAACTTCCAGTATCATCGACTACGGTGGCTCGGTCATGTGCTACGCATGCCAAAACACCGTCTACCGAGACCAGCGTTGTTCTCCGTGCCTCTTTCAGGATGGCCCAAACCGCGAGGTGGACAGCACATGACTTGGCAGAAAGGCGTCAAAGAGATCATGATGATGATGATGATGATGATGATGATGATGTCTAGTCAAATGTATCATGACAATCGATGAAATTCCGTCATGCGGATGCCGTGGAACCGCACAACGGACCTTCTGAACACACTGACACTGTGAAGAGCTATTCCATTATACGAACCAAGCACCATTTTGTGCTCCTTATGACGGAAACACTGTGTCTTGGTTGTGACTATACAATTTTATATAATCCTTGTTGCTCGGCCAGGAATTTCATCACTGGTATGAAAGGCGCATGACCTCCGGCCAAGTGGTCAGAATTCTCGATACTTTCTTAAGGCGACTCTCAACTTTCATGATTACCCTCATTGTCGCCAATACCACCATCAGTACTGTCAGTATCAGAAGTGACGGCAGAAGCAGTCATCAAACGGTCATAATGTCGCGAACAGGGGTGAGCACAAACAATCGCCCAACCGTACAAAACCTGGCAGTTTCGCCGCGTTTTCCCTAAAACCATCAGGCTTCCAGCAGGAATCCTTCAAAGGATGAGAGTAGACTGGTACTTCAGGCTGACGCATTCTGTTGCCCACCAGATATATGTCGCTTCAAGCACATTTCGTGCCCTAACCTGTTAGGCCTGTCTTCGGAGATAAAAGATGACCGGGAGAAGAGCAATCAGGACATTCTTGGATGAAGTAGTAGTTCAAGATAATGATTACGGTGATTATGATGTTGATCGTCGGCATATGGCAATTGCATGAAAAGTCAAACCATCACCATAAAACTATACAAGGGATAGAACGTTGACAGAGAGAGAACAGCCGGGTTTACTTGTGCAACGAAATTAACCCCCAAAGTCAACTTTTGTATAACATTTTTACTTGTTAGTGTCTTTGTCATGTCTAATTCTAACATCCCAAACCAGCTGAATCTTCGAGAAAATAGGCTCACGGTAACGTGGTTAACGGGTCACAACCGCTGGGTAGCTAAACTGATGCTGTGTAAGCTTCACAGATTTTCTCCAACTCGCACACCAGAATAACGTTTCGGATTGTGAATCAAACCACGGAAAGAAAAAGTCAAAACACGGTGATCGGAACTGGAATGAGTTCTAGATCTTCTATCGGTTCTATTGCTGGCGGCGATACATCCTTGTACGGGGCTCATTAGCCGCACAATGCTCGTAGCTGCAAAACGTTCGCGGGTGGAATGAAACTTTCTGCGCCAAAATTTTACATTTTGTTGCGCATGTGCTCAACCCAAAAACCGTCCTAATCTACATTCATATTTTTGCAGGCCACCAAATTTCATCGTCCTCTGACAAAAATCTGGTGGGATACTTTACTAGCATCACTGGGACCCCAGGACGCCTAGATGGGGCTCAAAAGCTTGGACTGATATCCTGAACCCAATTGCCTGTCTGCATTAGTCCATCAGGGACGCGTCGTAGCTTTCGAAAATTCAGTTGCATTGCGCGAATACTGATCGCCTTCCTGTACCCCGATAACACTCTCTGATCATGGTTCCCGCTATAGGCGTTGCTAGGTTGCTTGGGTGAGAAACTTTTGAGTTGGCGTAGCAACTGCACTGTTGCCCTGGCAGTGGACTAAGCTGAGCCAGAGTTTTTAGATGAAAAGTAGCGATAAAACCCTAGTTATCCTAAAAAAAAGTACTCACAAATTTGGCAAAAACTTTGAAAAAACCACAACTAGTTTCACCCTTCGAGTTCGTGCTCGTCAGGGAGGTGCAGTCGCCGAATTTCTGTCAAACTCACGTCTTACTTCAACCCCAATTGTACTGTATTTCTAAGATTACTGGAAAATTGAGAACTACGCCTACATGATGAGCTTCAAGAAGAGCGAAGTCAGTCGCGGGCTGTTGAAGCGCTTTCAGTAACTTTAAGAGGAGTGCGTTCCGTCAGGGAAGTCAGCGTGCTGAACCACCTCCTCGTGGTATCGACTGGGTAGCCCGGGCGTCAGTCTGGGTGAGCTAAGAGTTCAGCAACTCCAGACAGGGCTAACCACCCCGTTTGGTTTCAATGTGCTGGTTACTTTCGACCATGTACAATAAGAATCATCTGGCGCCTCCGCACCAGTTCAAACCAGTACACAGGAGAGACACGTTGGGTTCACGTGTGAGGAATGTGGCAAGTGCTGGCTTGGTAGCCCACCATAGAGTTCACGACAATGAAAGTGTTGGTATGAACATGGTCGCCCAATTGGCCTGCGCTGATTGTTCCCGCCTTTTTCCGACGAAGATTGGTTTGGTATGGAAATGGTCGCCCAATTGGCCTGCGATGATTGTTCCCGCTCTTTTCCGACGAAGATTCGCCCCAGTCACCATCGCCGGCACGCACACCCCACCTAGCAGAATGCAGATAAGCTTGGCTGAATGAAGTATTCCCTTACCCACTGGTCCCAACAAGAGGCACAATCGTTCTTGCGCCTGACTAACAAGTTATATCCATCTTGTGGCACGCAAACCGCGCTGTTCGCGAGACTGGAGCAGTATCTTCATGGTCGATTCAGCATCGAAACCAGGTTACCGATGCTTAACTGGCAGGCACAACAGGACGAATCATTATCTGGTGGTCCTGACCAGACCATCGGTAAAATAGCGGTCTACCCGTCAGAAGCCGATAACTACAACGTCTGGTTTAAACAAACCGTGGATTGTACCGTGTCACTCTTGGAATCCCATGCTGACCGTTTGCTTGCTAGTGTTGATCTCTTGACATTTGTTCGAGGGGAAAAGTTTGGCATGATGACACCGAAGCAAGTCCTGCCGCCGCCAACTTACTCCGGTTGGTATCCAAAGGGTTGTGGCCACGGGATCTGCATCCTTATCCTGGTCACGGCGCCAAATTGCAGGAAGCTGCGGCGTTACCTGTTGGAAAGAAATGGACAGTTACAGACTATTGGACAGGAAAGCAAAACCCTCATATGCATCTTGTTTACAAAAACTGAATATCCATCTTCTCCTTGAACGCGCCTTCCTGAACTTTCGAAGATATTCATTGACTGTTGCTCAAATGCAAGCAAATGAGACTCCAGAAATTCTGCAATAGATTTCACTTTTCAAGAGATGAGAAGCGGATTCACGAGTAAACATACTACTCGCATGCTCCATCAGTAGTATCCACCGTTACACAGGTAAGCTCGAAGTTTTTTTGCAATTAGAAGGCGTCCTGTCCACTCGGAATTAAACTTCCTGGTCAAAAGTGAAACTCCAGTTTCTTTTTTGGATTTTCTGCAAAAAGCCTTAATGTTGTTATCAAAGTTCGAAATTAATTAACCCTATATGAGATATCGCACAAAAAAATAACCCATCGGTACCACATCAGTAGGGAGAGATCATGGAGAAAAGTAAAGTAATCTCAACTACGTCACGTCATTCTCACTGCATAAGATGAGCAGTCAACTTGTGAAGTGCCCCAGTAGGTGCGCAGTTTTGTTGAAAGCAGCATAGATTTAAAGAGCAGCCTGAAGGAGCCATGATGCGTTTTTCAGCATTCTTCATGCCGTGATGGCCTTTCTTTGTTTGCGTTTTTTTATTGGGCAAAAGGGAAAATATCTGTAATCAGTCCTCCTTTCATCAGATTTGTCAAGTGTATTTGTATCACAGCTGTATTTTTAGCGTACTCGCTGCCGACCGTGACCCTGGCTGTTTCGCAATCGCTGACGAATCGAAGTTCAGTGATTTTTTTATGCCGAGTTGGAGACATACTCACATCGAATTACTGCGACCGGTCTGCATCATCAACCACGTCGTTGTTGCCATGGCGGAAATGCGAAAACAACGTGCTACCGGTTCATCAGAAGGGGACTGGATCTGCGGAAGTGCAACTAGCCCTACCCTTCTCCGCTCCAAACATTTTTCGAAATAGTGATTTGCTACTTTCTATCTCAAGTAGCTTAATAAGGACGGTGATTTTCCATTCATCACCTCTAGTGTCAGTCTCTCGAAAGTGGGTGGGGCGTTTGGATGCTTGTTCCTTAAAAGTTGCAGAATGTACGCCAACTACCCCATCTCTGGTCCAAGATGTTAATTTTCCCGCGCTTCACGCAGCCTGCAGCTCAGTGTGTACGCCAGCTGGTACAACTACGGAACAGTGCAGCCAAGTCCATCAAGGCACGGGAGCTCGAACAAGACATCGAGGATTCTTGACTCCCAGAAACTGATTCTACTTGAGTGAAAATACAGTACCACTTGGCGGAATTGCCGTTGTTAAACAAAATTAGGTATCCACACTGATTGAGAATCTTGGTGGGTGTAGAATACTGGGGAAACGCAGCAAACCAAAGCCTCCAAGAGTGTTCGAAGGCAGCTCCGAAATAGGCTTTATAACTTCCTCTATGAATGGAACGATCAGTAACAAGGATGAGCCACTCATCTCGCGCAAAACGATTCCCCTGAATTTTTTGCAGAACACTTTCAGCCACTAATCAGCTGATACCCGTTGCTGTTCAGTTGTACTCCTGATTAGTAACAGAAGCTTGGAAAGGAAACCTGGACCAGCCATTGATAATGAAAGCATACATATTCATTTTCTTGCGCAAGCACAACCGGGCGCTCACTTATTTTGTCGGATGATGAGGGAGAAGTCGTCAGCCAGTACATATCTCAGTTATTTGCTTCCATCTCGGCTGGAGATCAGTTTCATCCTGATCGTTTGGGCGACCAGCTGAAATGAAGACGATTCGAGTGTTTGCGATAGGTTCTCTTTACAATAAGTCTCACCAAATAAACAGACAGTTGGCCAGTTGTGTTTTGTCAAAGGCGATGATATAGGGTGATCAGGTGCGGAAGTCTGGCTTCCCGCTGGACTGTCATATGCGCAATCAACTGCTGTTACTATACCATTAGCCAACATATTTTTTGCTGTCTGTGCTGTTAAAGGTGAGTTATATCTGTTTTCTGGTAAAAGTGGACAAAGTATTACGAGGTAATTCGTAATTAAAAATACCGCAACCTATGTAAATACCAAAGTTCAACTGCCCTCTGTTCATGGATAAACACTAGGGCCATGTTTTGGGATCTCATTAAAGATAATTTTCGCCTTTATTTCACAAACGGTGTGGTGCAAAATGCCTAGCTTATCTCGAAAGCACCACCACTTTTGCCCTTTTCTAACATGATAATTTACAACCAGTCTTCCGTGATCACCTCGTGTTTGTATGACCACTTTACAACAGGGAAATAACCAGAGTTTCCGGATTTTTCGTGTTTGATTCGCCACCTAAGATCACATTTCCTAGTGTATATCTACAAAGTTGTCATTGTCATCGCCGAAAGCATAACATCAGTGTTCAAGACCGATGCCTTGATGTCTCAAAACCATGATTTATTTGAAAGCCTCGTCGTGAAGAAAAGAATTAAAGTGGACAGGGAAGGGACTTGGTGCTTGCAAACCACAGCCACTCCAAGGTGCCTACACCTCCAGACAGTCATTCAGGTAATGGGGTTCGAAACTGACAACAAGGACGCCACTGACACCGACTGGCAGTCAGGTACAGTGGGAATCTAGATGTCCCCATCCTGGAAGGTTAGTCGAGCCGACGGCACCCAGACGCTTCGTAATCTCTCTCACACTCACCTGCCAAAGTTTAACTCTCTCTCTCTCTCGCTCTCTGCTTACGACACTCTGAATCGGGCACAAAGATGATGACAAAGAAAAAACTCTATTCGGCATGGGCAGTATATGACCTAACCACTGCTCTGAAAAGTAGGGCGCCATCAGAGCGCTATTTCGCCTCCGTTCAGAATTCCACAAAGCAACTACAAGGTGGTAAAGTCTTTACCTTTCCCTCTCAGTTGTGTAACAGCTACTCAACACATTCATACCTATCAAAACCACGAATCATGCGAAATCATGACATCGATTTCCACTGTTAACTGGTTTGTACATTTGCAGCTTAGGCGATGCAGTTGGCTATCACTGCCCCAGCAATTGAATGCATTCTGCTCTGAAATGCGATCATATTGGTCAACAGTCACCCAAACCGGAAATTACAGTTTCCGATCTTTTATCCGGAATTACGTGTCGTCTAATGAGTAGTACGTAGCTTATCCTTTGAATCGCTACAAACTACCCACCACGAAGCAAGTGTTTTCGTTAGTTCATCCAATTCTAGTCACAATCTGCTGTCTTGAGACCAACAAAAAATGAGCCCATAATGCAAGATTAGTGGGCAATATTTTAGTGCGGCAACACACATAACTGATTGGTTATCAAATAGCCAAAAGCAACGTTACTCGATGAAGTCAGTGTGGCTGAAAGTTCTGGAAATAATCATATCGATTCATAGGATGTAGACGACATAATCAGATTATTCCACCGTGTAAACGCTTGTACGAGAATCACGGCTTGAGGAAGTGATGGCAACTGTTGATTCCCCTCCCGAATCAACGGTGGCCAGCGGTAATTTTCCTTGTTACGTGACTACTCATAAGTAACGAGACTTGCACTTGTTCATTATGGCCCCGTTTTGTTTCCTCGTTGCTCGTCTTCACCCTGTTTCGTCCCTACTTAAGGCCTGCTTATTCCTCAGCAACTGATGTCAGTGTTTTGTTGCCCGTCCGTCATTGCTTGCAATCCGTCTCGATCGAACCTATTTTCGAGCGTCCATTCCGATGGAAAAGCGGATCGACCGGGTATCGAACCCCCCGGACGGCAGGCGAATGCGCCATCCACTACACCAACCGGAAGCCCCAGATGGTCTATTATTTTGTACTACCTATGTACCGCACCTGTCAGATAGCCTTTGGCGGGATTTGTTTTAAGCGCGTAATCCGACTTGTCACGTGACACGAGCTGCCGCGTCGCGCTGCCAACCGAAAGACAGTCCCTCACATCCCGAACGTACTGATTTTCCGCGCCGTTATCCCTCTATACGGCCAACTCACGCTGTCAGATTGCTCCTATAAAATTCCCTGCTGTCTCAGTGACTATTTTCTGCTCCTGCTGATCGCGTCAACATTAATTAACCAGTCCCTGTCAGTCCTCAATACATCATCTGCTGCCCAGGTCTGTCTACTCCTATTGACTACTGGCTATGAACTGCGCATAATCTAATAGCCGTAATCGTCCTGTGAGATCCATAGCCCCCGGATCCTACAGAGGCACTGTTGTCAGGTTTCGTTAGGTTTGACAGCATGAATAATTACGTTGAAGTTAGGTAACAGGCTACCGTTTTGGCAAACGTTACTGTTGTACCAAAGCTGGGTTCTTACTTTGAAGTATAAAAAACTGAGGTTAGTGTTCAAAAATGACCTTTGATGTTAGCTCCAGTCTCTGGCAGCTTATTCAAAATGTCGTACTACTTGTTGTTCCTGTCCTTGGAACGTGTCATTTCTGCACTGCTAATCGGCACTCAATGACTGGTTGGGCTGCTAGCGTTCGTCCACATTGGACAGACAACTTTCACCGTTATTTTTTTGCTGTCTGTGCTGTTAAAGGTGAGTTATATCTGTTTTCTGGTAAAAGTGGACAAAGTATTACGAGGTAATTCGTAATTAAAAATACCGCAACCTATGTAAATACCAAAGTTCAACTGCCCTCTGTTCATGGATAAACACTAGGGCCATGTTTTGGGATCTCATTAAAGATAATTTTCGCCTTTATTTCACAAACGGTGTGGTGCAAAATGCCTAGCTTATCTCGAAAGCACCACCACTTTTGCCCTTTTCTAACATGATAATTTACAACCAGTCTTCCGTGATCACCTCGTGTTTGTATGACCACTTTACAACAGGGAAATAACCAGAGTTTCCGGATTTTTCGTGTTTGATTCGCCACCTAAGATCGCATTTCCTAGTGTATATCTACAAAGTTGTCATTGTCATCGCCGAAAGCATAACATCAGTGTTCAAGACCGATGCCTTGATGTCTCAAAACCATGATTTATTTGAAAGCCTCGTCGTGAAGAAAAGAATTAAAGTGGACAGGGAAGGGACTTGGTGCTTGCAAACCACAGCCACTCCAAGGTGCCTACACCTCCAGACAGTCATTCAGGTAATGGGGTTCGAAACTGACAACAAGGACGCCACTGACACCGACTGGCAGTCAGGTACAGTGGGAATCTAGATGTCCCCATCCTGGAAGGTTAGTCGAGCCGACGGCACCCAGACGTTTCGTAATCTTTCTCACACCCACCTGCCAGATCAAAGGTTGACTCTTTCTCTCCCCTCTCTCTCTCGCTCTCTGCTTACGACACTCTGAATCGGGCACAAAGATGATGACAAAGAAAAAACTCTATTCGGCATGGGCAGTATATGACCTAACCACTGCTCTGAAAAGTAGGGCGCCATCAGAGCGCTATTTCGCCTCCGTTCAGAATTCCACAAAGCAACTACAAGGTGGTAAAGTCTTTACCTTTCCCTCTCAGTTGTGTAACAGCTACTCAACACATTCATACCTATCAAAACCACGAATCATGCGAAATCATGACATCGATTTCCACTGTTAACTGGTTTGTACATTTGCAGCTTAGGCGATGCAGTTGGCTATCACTGCCCCAGCAATTGAATGCATTCTGCTCTGAAATGCGATCATATTGGTCAACAGTCACCCAAACCGGAAATTACAGTTTCCGATCTTTTATCCGGAATTACGTGTCGTCTAATGAGTAGTACGTAGCTTATCCTTTGAATCGCTACAAACTACCCACCACGAAGCAAGTGTTTTCGTTAGTTCATCCAATTCTAGTCACAATCTGCTGTCTTGAGACCAACAAAAAATGAGCCCATAATGCAAGATTAGTGGGCAATATTTTAGTGCGGCAACACACATAACTGATTGGTTATCAAATAGCCAAAAGCAACGTTACTCGATGAAGTCAGTGTGGCTGAAAGTTCTGGAAATAATCATATCGATTCATAGGATGTAGACGACATAATCAGATTATTCCACCGTGTAAACGCTTGTACGAGAATCACGGCTTGAGGAAGTGATGGCAACTGTTGATTCCCCTCCCGAATCAACGGTGGCCAGCGGTAATTTTCATGTTACGTGACTACTCATAAGTAACGTGACTTGCATTTGTTTATTATGGCCCCGTTTTGTTTCCTTGTTGCTCGTTTTCACCCTGTTTCGACCCTACCTAAGGCCTGCTTATCCCTCAGCAACTGATGCCAATATTTTGTTGCCCGTCCGTCACTGCTTGCAAGTGCGTCTCGATCGAACCCATTTTCGAGCGTCCATTCCGATGGAAAAGCGGATCGACCGGGTATCGAACCCCCCGGACGGCAGGCGAATGCGCCATCCACTACACCAACCGGAAGCCCCGGATGGTCTATTATTTTGTACTACCTATGTACCGCACCTGTCAGATAGCCTTTGGCGGGATTTGTTTTAAGCGCGTAATCCGACTTGTCACGTGACACGAGCTGCCGCGTCGCGCTGCCAACCGAAAGACAGTCCCTCACATCCCGAACGTACTGATTTTCCGCGCCGTTATCTCTCTATACGACCAACTCACGCTGTCAGATTGCTCCTATAAAATTCCCTGCTGTCTCAGTGACTATTTTCTGCTCCTGCTGATCGCGTCAACATTAATTAACCAGTCCCTGTCAGTCCTCAATACATCATCTGCTGCCCAGGTCTGTCTACTCCTATTGACTACTGGCTATGAACTGCGCATAATCTAATAGCCGTAATCGTCCTGTGAGATCCATAGCCCCCGGATCCTACAGAGGCACTGTTGTCAGGTTTCGTTAGGTTTGACAGCATGAATAATTACGTTGAAGTTAGGTAACAGGCTACCGTTTTGGCAAACGTTACTGTTGTACCAAAGCTGGGTTCTTACTTTGAAGTATAAAAAACTGAGGTTAGTGTTCAAAAATGACCTTTGATGTTAGCTCCAGTCTCTGGCAGCTTATTCAAAATGTCGTACTACTTGTTGTTCCTGTCCTTGGAACGTGTCATTTCTGCACTGCTAATCGGCACTCAATGACTGGTTGGGCTGCTAGCGTTCGTCCACATTGGACAGACAACTTTCACCGTTATTTGCTCTTCACTGTTCATTAGTCTGCTGTTGCTACCTTGCACGGTTGACCAGATCGTTCAGTGTTGAGCTACACTAATATTATTCTTTTTGTTTTTCTTGTTACACTAAATCATTTTTACGTTAACACATGACAGTTTATCTCGAGTCTTGCTGATTCCCATCCTGTACCGTCTTCGGTACCATAGCAACTAGACGTCTCCGTCGCCAGAATGTGTGTCATACAAGCTGACCAAATTTAAGGACAGTAAATGTAACGCCACCGTTCCTTCATTAGCCGGGCAAAACCATCCATCCGGTTTACAAAAAGATGTTATGTTAACTTTTAGTATCACTATTCAAGGTAAATTTGTATGGGTTGACATAGGAGCCTCTAATGACACTGCCCAGTTGAACAGGATTAATGTTTTTTATTACTCGAAAATAGAAGCGCAATCAATCAAACATGGTTTTTGAAGCATTTTCAAGCACAGCGTTAGTTTGAGTTGTGAGTCTAGTTCAACTAATTGTTAATTCAGACTTACCAAAATGTGCCCACTGACGAAACTGTTATCGATATGGCGAAATACACTCATTTTCATACTAATCTAGTTTTGACGGGAGACTTACCTGCAACCCAGCTGTCCCAGTCTCATCCGCTGATACCACCAGGTTTGAGCTCACTACTACCAGTGAAAGGAAGAAGGCCTTCGATGCAGAGTTACTCAGTAGAAAATGCCAACTGACCAGTTACAGACTATTGGACAGGGAAGCAAAACGCTCATTTGCATCTTGTTTACAAAAACTGAACATCCATCTTCTCCTGAAAGCGTCTTCTTGAACTTTCCTGAATATTCATTGACTCCAATCATTCATCGCTCAAATCCAAGCAAATGCTACAAAGCGACTCCACAAATTCCGCAGCAGATCTCCCTTTTCAAGAGGTGCTAAGCGAATTTACAGGAACACAACATACTACTCGCGTGCCTCCCCATCAGTAGTATCACCGATACGCCAGTGGCGTTGGTTACTTTCCGGGGGTATCACGAAATAGTGGTTGGCACGTCGACTTGACCCTTTTGGCTGGGCGGTTACAACAGCGCGTAGTCGGATGAAACAGCCCACTTCAAATAGCAAAGTTTCTAGTCAAGAATGATTCATATGTATAAATCACGTGCTAACAAGAGCCTATTAGACGTATGTACTTTTACTTTCACATATAACATATTTTTATCGTTTTTCAACAAGATGAGGTCAGATTTTCGATTCTACAGGGTAACAATAAAGTGGAGTTTGCTTCCCGCGCAATCAGATCATCCGAATTTGCAACAGCACTTTAATGATCGAAAAAGCAGACTGAAAAAGCTTTCTTATTGTAGTTTACTCACTACTCAATTGTCAGAGTAGTGTGCATCGTATTCCACCAGCCCGAGTCTTGAGTTCAGTTACCTATAAGCAAGTTGGATGTAACCAGTGCGATTTGAAAAAAACTATTTAACGGTGAGGTTCATACGTGTCTGAAGGCCAAACTAGTTCAATCATCAACGACAGAATTTGAGACATAGTTGAGTCCTAGTCTAGATAAACGATCAGTGCTTTTTGTCTAACCCCAAATTCGGATTGGTCAGAGGAGTGCTAGATTCTCGACAGGCGCACTTATTTTGCACAAATATTTGGTTTGAAAATGAAGCTCAGCTGAATTCCAGCTAGATTGCTCGTTTAAGCTATAATTTCATTGAATAAGCTGCACAGAAATCATCTTATTTTTCACTTTCCGCCATATTCCGGATATCGGAGTACATTTTCTTGATATATCGCGCCACTTAACAGATTGCTGAAAACCCCTCGACACCCCACGGAATCATCAGATAAGCGCGGTCCCCGAGTTTCCACAAACCCTTTGTTCTACTTGAATCCAAACTGGACAACTTACTACAAATATGCTCGTTTGCACATGAATTTTATTTTGCTTGAAGACTCAACTAAATCCCGAACTTCGTGCAGCACATTCATTCGAAAAATCAGTTGTGACTACCTTATGAGTACCATGTTACACCTTTGCAGCGTAATGCGACACCTTGAATATCGCACCAACCGAAAATTGATGCGACCTGGTGCAGTTGAAAAAGACCATCAGAACGGAGAGATTCAGCTGACTCTCCTGCCAAAACCAAATTCCTATGCGAATGAGAATATCCAGCGAAGGATTCAGAGGCCCAAGACGGAGTCTGAACTGCTTAAATATCTCCATGGTATGAAAAAGAACACAGTGACAAACATTGATGTTTTCGTGATCTCGTCATCAGGTCAGTACATACCTAATGGTTAAAATAGGAGCGAAAAATGAAGTAAGATGTGAAGATTGGATAGTGAAATGCAAAACGTGGAGACACGAACGATTGGTTGTCTGCGCCCCTCCCCATGCCCCATCTAGTTGGATGCTGTGAGACAACCAAGAGGGCTGTTGAGTCCGAATTGCCCAGAGCAGCTAACTGAAACCACCTGTTTTGATACCAGATGTCTATGCTATATATTGTATACTGCCTCATCAGTCTTCCTCATGAGTTTGACATAAAGTTCAGGGTCAACACACACTAAGTACTTTCCAAAACATACTGGACAAAGTTGCCACTAACCGAACCAAAGACATCACATTCCACTCTATCTTGTTGATAGCTATTGATTGGCATGCAGTTGTAACACCCATTTGGTCGCTTGCAGCTTTCGAGGTGTATTTCGGGGCTCTGTGTGGAAGCTGCGTTGTGCACAGGAGCAAACAAGTTTCACCAGATGACATCATTTTGCACTACTCACCAGACTCCAAAAGTAGTCCCAGCAAAATTATTACAAACGATGCAGTTTATAGTCAAGATGCTGTCCACAATCTCAACAAGAACAGATTTCTCGAGGGAATCAACAGGAACCAACCTGTACTTGCCTCGATTTGTCCAAAGATGTCGCCATATAATACCGGATAAGATGGGCAAACAACGTAAAACTCAGCGGTTGCATAACACACACACAGGTGGGGTCGATATTGGACAACTTCGTGTTACACAACGACTGACAAGAGAACCACTAAACGTTAAGCAAACGAATCTGCGATATCTGTGGCTAAAAAACAACCGTTCAAAACTACATGCAACCTGACATATGAAGGTGGCTGATGAAGGGGAGGACCGAGGAACGGACCCATTTCGAAGACAGCTGTTCATCAATGAAGCAAATGAATCAGCTGAACAGAAAGTGTACTTTTCTGTTCACCATATATGAGCCTAGTGGCGCGCGTGAAGATACTCTACACACCCATGAAATGCGAAAACCTTTTATCTCATACAGAAAGTGTACTTTTCTGTTCACCATATGAGCCTAGTGGTGCGCGTGAAGATACTTTACACACCCATGAAATGCGAGCACCTTTTGTCGCATGTCACCCCTTACCTGTTGCAAGTATACCATCGCAGAACGAATACTAACTAGCGTAAAATTATACCGGTTTGGAAGACGACCTTGGGAAATAGGAGTACGAAGTTAGGACACCTAACCAATGCAAACTTGGGAGATGGATAGTGGGATGTGAACAAAGGGACGTGTTCAAAAGTATCACGACCGCTTTTGAGAGGTTAAGTTGTCTCACATCTGTAAAAAAAAGTGGTAACGTTTCAAAAAATGAACTTTAAAAAGCGATTTCCTCTTTCCCAGATTATCCCATGCATTACGTCCGAATGCTACCTTGTATGAGAGGTGACCGACTTTCTGAGAAACCCCCGATTCTAAGAAATCTTCAGGTGAAAAATATTACACTGGATAGACCTGACCAGGTAGTTTAGTTGTTTGATTAGCTTTGGGCTGTTCAAAGTGATGTCGATTTTACTAAACATTTCCAAAGCTTACATGCCAGAAATATGTCTAAGAAATATGATTTTTTTAAGAGAAAAAAGGGGGTTTCAACAGAGAGCAATGTCAGTGTGTATTCTACGAAACGCCCCAACCACGAACGCCTGCGTTCAGAAGGTTTTGAGCGTCCGTGGCAATACCTGGCCGGAAAGTCCTGACTGGCGGGTCACTCTACCGAGGTATGTTACCTGGTCATCGTTCGGGGTGTACTGGTGGAGTAGTGGTAACATGCTCGCCTCCTATGTCAGATGTGCGGATTTCAAACCCAGGCATGGTCTGCTGCACTGCTGATGAGCTCTAGTAAGAGCGAAACTCGGGTCCAGTGCTTCCACTCTTTGTTATGGACTCACCAGAATGGTTGCGTCAGGACAGGCGGACAGTTTTTTAAACGTGATTCATTCTACAAAATCCCACAACTACCAGCACCTAAAACAGAGCTTACCGCACCTGATAGTCTACCTCTGAGTCAATCACGAATCGAGTACGTCAAGCAACTGAAGACTGCTGCAGTTCAAAATGACATTTGCCTCGATTCACTCGATTCTGTCTGAGTAAATGGTCAATGTTGGAGTACGATGCCAGTGGGATAAGTTGAAGGCACTTTGTAATTGAGGAAAGTAATTGTTATATCTGCTGATTTGCCAATCTGTGGTATCAGCTGCTGACCCGCTCCGGTGCCTATTACCGGAAAAAAGACTCACAGAAGGGAACGCAACTGTTATATTCCGAACAAGCGAATGAGTGCGTGTGAGTACGAGAGCAAAAAGTTACAGCGGCCCCACGCTATTTAAAGGGGACTTTCTGCCACTGATCCAGGCTGTCTGGTTGGCATTAGTGAACACACATCAACATCAATTGTGCCTCTATGACATGCCCGAACGCTGATCACAATCGGTCGTGCTTCTGTGGCGTGCCTGAACAACCATCATGCTTTGCCAAATTGATTGAATTATTGATTGCCCTGGATGTTTACCGGCTTTCCTATGGAGATTTTGGTGGAGTTTTAGGGTCTCAGGGCGTTCTGGAGTTACTTTTCAGGAATCTGATCTTCCTGATAGTAATGTACATTATACGGGATATTGTCAAGGCATTACGAATGCGGTATCAGATAACAGATGTGCTTCATTCAGACCAGTGACCCTCACTCTTCGATACGCAGTTATACGTTGGAAGCCTGCGCACGCAATGACACGTGACTCTCATGATAGAGGAGTAGGATTATGGTGGACTTTCGCCTGCCACACTGAATTTAAGTCCAACGTGGCTAAGTCAAAGCACTGGTCATAGTGCAGTCACGTGCACGAACCACGATCGAAAGGGCTAACCAGGTTGCAAGTAAGTCTGCCTATTCTTATGCCGGAATCGAACGGGTTCGAAGTTGTGCCGTCAGTGTGCATCGTGACACGATGCTGAGCTTCAGCTCAACGAATGCGACATGTCGGGAGCAATCGAACAGGTGCGCAAACATCGTAACACGATGTTCCAGTGAGCACTGGCACACGGATACAAATGCGGCACGTTCGAAACACGGGACCCAACGGACGGAAATGGCACGCCACCAAAACTTCAACATTAATTGCTGCGCTAATGGAATCTCCGACCAAATTCAAACGGATTTGTCGTTTGTCCGTCTGATTGGTCGCCATGTTGAGTTGATCTGACGATCGATTTTCTCAATCGTCAGATCAGATCACGACTGCTCTACTTACTTGTGTGAATTTAGTTACACAAATATGGAAATTATGGAAACAAAGATGGTTCGTACGTGGCTGTGTGAATATCACAGTGTACACTTGAGTCGTTTTGAGCAACCAGAGATATAAATCAGCTGAATACGTCTGCGAAATCCATCACGTACACGTTCAGCTATGGCACCCTTTTCGCGTCTAGCTGCCAGGCCACCCAAAGGAAGCACAAGGGCTGGAATAGTGCAAGGTTACCCAAGCCTAGACAGGAGAAGTCGAGAGACAGAGGACGGGTTCGAACCACGAACCTCCCGGTCAGTAAAGGTCAGTAATCGACCTCCCTGATCCCGATTTGAGACCCTATTATGAGTGTATTCATCAGAATAGATAATACTATGCATCTTACAGCGATGAAGTGTCCTACAAGGCACATAACACTGGAAGGACTGATTGATGAAGATGATAATAAATGTGCATTGTTGTAATGATATCATTTTATTATAATAAAATAATATGACAATCATCCGGCCATAACAGACTTTCCGTGTCTAGCTGCCGTGCCACCTGAAGGAGACAGGAGGGCTCAGATATTGTCAGGTTGCCCAAGCCTAGACAGGAGGAGATGACATGCCGGGTTCGAAGCACGAACCTTCCAGTCAGTGACCTTGGCCACTCTCGAGTGGTCTCTGTGGAGTCCATTGTTGTCCCACTTGATCATCCTGTCACTTTCTACAAAATTGCCTCATTGCTATGACAGAGTAATCATACCTTCTGACACAGGTGATGACAACGTCATTACCTGGTGGATTTCATCATTACTTTCTAGTGTGACTAATGTTCAACACCAGTTTAGCACGACTGTGAGGGAGCAGTTGATCGTACCATTTGGATGCGGAACCTGCGTCCCAAAAGGCACGCATAGTAACCACATAAACTGACTACGTCTACGCTGTGTTCTACTGTTCGTGCAGTTGTCATAATACACATTCAAACGCAATCGGTTTTAGCTGTGCATCTATGCATCTCCGCGTGGTTGAAGGCTTGAACCGTAGATCCATGGTCACGTGGTAGAGAACGTGCATGAAAAATTCATCCGGAATGAGCAACTTAATTTTGCCGCAACCGCTTGAAACTTTCATCAACACCTCATGCATTATACAATCACTGTGTTGTAACCCTATTTGTATGCGTATTATCGGTTAGCGATTTCAAGTCGATTGTTGATACTGTTGCAGAAGCGCAACATTTCGACCGGGGACTGGGGGCTGAAAAAACTCTAATTATCGGACACCAGGAAAGTAAATAGTCCACGATTGCAGTACCCACCGACAAAAGCTTTTTTTGTACTATGGCTTCACTATTTAAACCTACTCAACTATCGCGCTACCATAGAGTATTTCCCGCATCCAGACTACACTGTCCATTACCTAACCTGTTTTCTTTTTATTCCGATTCGAGAAGTTGTTCAACATCCTGGATAGTTTACCCTCGGAAAATGTAGCCTCTTTCGATGGTCAGAAAGCCGAATATCCCCTAGCTTACCTATATGCATCAACAGTGCAGCTCATCTGAAAATTGCAGGAAGAACCTTGATAAATATCGGTTCAATGTACGTCCGTAGAATGTATCGGTGGTTATGTTCTACTGTGCTCATTTAGTCATCAGAACACACATAAAATCGATAAATGGTGACAATAGTGAACCAATCAGTCAACTTCGCAAGTTACCATTTTTGGGTATTCGTGATATCCGTTCAGCTAAGTGGGTTTCTATACTCACCTTCTAGAAGCTCCTTGAAGTCACTGTTTAAATGAATGGTTCCACTCGGACCTGAAATCAGTATTGCTAAAGCGACAAACCACTTACTGCTAGCCCTCTGCACAACCACAGTGGAAACCAAAATCTTTCCACAAATTACATGTTAATAGAGTGTTCGTGAATATTTTGGCTTTACATTGGAACAAATAAATTAACTAACACTACACAGCCAACAAATCCTCCACTGGGTTCGAGGACTCAGGGTGAGAATGAAAATATTGTCGGAAACAATGGAATCAATGGATGTAATGGCTGAAGTCGAAACCTTCCCGCCAAACATAAGCTCAACTGCAAGTGCTGCATTAAAACAAATCTATCATCGAGTTCATCCGTTAACCAGTGATAGGAATTGACTTTCGAAAGTTTGGTTGCAATCTGTCTGGTGATAGCTGCCTACATGAGTGTTAGACAGCCTTATCTGTTTTCCGTAGACAATATCGTCCTGGACCAGGGGAACTCTTATAAGTTCCATCATTAAAAGCCCTGGTTTTACACGTCCTTTTAGCCGTCTATCTTTGTTGCTGATTCACATTACATTCATTATAATATAGTGTAGTTGACCAATGTCTGGAAATGACTCGACTTATCACTCTGGATCATACAACGAGCTAAATATTGGAGAGAGCGTGTTTGACATGTGTGTGTGTGTGTGTGTGTGTGCAGACTAACAGACCACCTTTAGTGTACCTTCGTAACATTTGTTGGCCTCAGTTGTCCCTCTCCTTGACTCGACCCACCATCTGGGTACCCTAATGGATTTAGACCTGCCCCCCTCTCCCAGTCTTATTCCCTCGGGTTCACATACCGCTCAGCGCAATCCACATTTGTTCTTATCTGTCCTGCACGCGTGGATCATCGGCCTTGTTCGACGTGACAAGCCAATCAGGAAACGGACGCCAGTTCATCTAAACAGGCGGATGCCACAGACGAGGCCCAGTTCCGCAAGAGGAATAGGGTGCTCAGTATTCGCACAATGAAATTGAATTTTCGAAAGTCCTGGTGGACTAAAGCAATCCTGCAACTGAATTGAGCGTACTAGTCCAAACTTTTGAGCCCCATTTAGGCATCCCGGGGTCTCAGCGGTGCTTGGAAATTATCCTACAAGGCTTTTCAGCCAGAGGCGTGGTTGCTTCAGTGAACAATGAAATGTGTTGAACTGCACAACATGAAGGTAGACTGCAAAGGTTTTTGGCTCGAGTACATACGCAACAAAATGCAACATTTTTGGCGTAAGAAGTTTTACTCCACTCGCAAACGTTTTGCAGCTGACAGCATTGTGCGGGCACCGGAGGAAGAGCGCTCTGATACACGACAGTAACAAAAGTCGTGTTGCCAGACTCGGCAGAAGGAAAACAGTAGTGAGAAACTAATCCAGCGCCAATCGTACTATGCTACTTACTATAAATCAATGCTCCGTATGCAGTTGTAGTGAAATCCGGACAGCTTGCTGAGGCACTGTTTCCACGGGAAAATCAGCTAGTTAAGGATGACGTAAATGCTATGTTTGAAAAGCTACTAATGTCTGAGTTTTATAGTTGAAGTAGCCGCTTATCTTAAGGTGTACCGCTTGGTTGTCATGCCAAAGACAACCCGATTCCTTGGCATACACCAAAGCAAGTCCTTTATAGATATCCATCATTCATTCCAACCCATATTTCCGTGTGCTTTCTGACTACGCAGCTTGAATTTTCCGCGTGTTAGCAAGAAACCAAACCGATATGATGTGAAACAAGATGTGGACAACAGCGTTTTGTCAGGCCTGGCAAACAGATTCTTCGGCCTTCTGAGTAACAGTACCAACGGAGCCCGGATAGACAGATACTCGGGACTATTACAGCTGTTAAGCTGAGGTCTCGGGTCTTGAGCACTCTTGAATTCGAGGTCAGCTTACCATGATCACCTGTTTTGTACAGTTTCTCGACATTTTTAGGAAATACTGGATGTTCAGGTCATTTTTATCCGTTCATGAGATTCTTTGCGGAAGAAATGTGCGTTTCTCGATTTGCACAAAAATTCATGTTCTTAAAAGTTGGCGGAAACTTGAATAAAACGGAAAGGGTTTAGCTTCATCTAAGTGCCACTATAAAACGGTGCATCCTATGATGTTTCCGGCTAATTTCGCTCTATCATTGCGTGTTTGCCCTCGCCACCGTAGCCCAGAGTGTCGAGGTCCATCATAACGTACGTTTCGTATTCAGACCCGCTTCCCATGACTAGATACAACTTGGTCCAAATGCATCCTGTTACTCACATGGTGGAGTTTTATTTCCTGGAAAACATAGCCCGCGGTGTGCTACTTGAGAATAACGTTCTCTCTGCGACTATTTGGACCCAAGTTTTTTTTCAATTTAAAAAGGCTTAATTGAAAGAACCAAGAGAGTCTTGACATAACTCTTTACGCATGAAGTTTTTGAAAACTCTTCTACCGTCCACCACCGGTTTTGTCCACTTTGGGTTTCATCAGATAGCCGTAGTCCCCGAGTTCATCATCATCATCATCATCATCATCATCATCATCATCATCATCATCATCATCATCATCATCATCATCATCATCATCATCATCATCATCTGCAGTATGACATCAATGTTCAACACCGATGCTTTACTGCCGTACAACCCTGATTTATTTGATAGCCTTATTGTAAAGAAAAGAGTAAAGGTGGACTTAATGCTAGTTTACCACAAGCATTCCGAGGTGTCTATGCCTCCAGACATTCACTTAGGCGATCTTAATAGAAACTGACAACAATAACTCCACTGACATCGGTCCGCAGCCATATCTTGTGTTCTGTTTGAGCAACAAATCTTTGGCGACTGGCGAAATACACGCATTTTTAAGTTGCGGCAGTATCCTAAACGACTTTCTCGTTAAGACACAATTGCATCGCAAGGTGAGATGGCCCTTTCTGTACTTTCATGCAATGTTTATCTATTTTGGTCTTGCAAGGGGTCCGAACCCCGAACCCCTGTCATGCGAGGCGAGTGCGTCACCAGTACACCACCAGTGCGAGCTGGGCTCACAAGAATTGTCACCTGTGAACGCGAGAGCAATGTGACTGGCTTTGCCCGACGGATCCCAAGACTAGTACTCTCCTGTGGTCTAAGTTCATATAGACCCAACAAGTCCAGACAGGTTCGCCTTGCCCAAAGCTGTGTTGCAACGACCCAAAAGCCCATGCACGTTCGAACCGCCTTTCCACTGAAAGTGCACGGTAGTCAATCAACCGGAACTAGACCGATGACTATCCTGGACTTTTGTCGGCATGTAAATGTACACACGGGACCTCTGTCTGCACCCAACGGACCATCGCATAGCCGCTCCTCGAGGCAGTTGTTGGCCGTGCAACAGATGAAACCCACTCGAATCGAAAGAACTCAAGTCAAACTCAGTGAAGCTCAGCAGACAAACGACACGGCGACATGTTTCTACACATGATAACTCAAAAACTGACGAATGAGAGACCAGTAGAGTGGAAGAGCCGTTCGGATGTGATAAGGATAGAGGAATTTGACAAATACACTCATTTGCAAATCAATTTGGTTTTCACGAAAGACTCAACTGGATCTCTCGTCTATAATATTCTCCAACTGAAAGTGCTGTACAAAGGCTGCTTGATCTTCTAGTTGGTAGGACATCGCAGTATATTTTCGTAAAGGAAACTATTCAAAATGTGGCAGAAAACTAACTATTTAACAGCTGAAACACGAGGCAGCACATTCAGTTGAAGAATAACATAAACGAGAGGTTCAATTGAGTCTTCTGTGAAAACCAAATTGATCGTCGAATAAGTGTATTCGTCGAAGTCAGTCCATTCGGGGTTTAATTAGAACATAAGGTTGACGGAAACTCGGGGACTGCGCTTACCTGATGAGCCCAAAGTGGAAGGGCGAAACTGGTCGTGGGTTATCAGAACTTTCAGCAGCCTTGTGAGTAGCTTCCTTAATGTAAAGAAATTTTTTTTTGAAAATTGGTATTTTTAGGCGGTCGCATGCGTTTTCTTATGTTTAGAGGGGGTTAAAAACAGAAGACATGATCAACCTGGTGCCAGGAGTGACAAACTTCACAGTATCAGGGGTGAAGGATATCAGATCGCCATCTGAGCCCCTGCTGACAATCAAGCTCGAAATTTTGAGTGTGTGTGTGTGTGTGTGTGTGTGTGTGTGTGTGTGTGTGTGTGTGTGTGTGTGTGTGTGTGTGTGTGTGTGTGTGTGTGTGTGTGTGTGTGTGTGTGTGTGTGTGTGTGTGTGTGTGTGTGTGTGTGTGCATAAGCAGGAGTGCTAACTCATCTTCACCGAGAAAACTAATCGGCCGAAAATTTTCGGGATACGGATTTTCTGTTTGGCTCTGACGCTTCATACTATTCGAATGTCCTCCAGCGATGTACGTTTTGATGACCTTCATATATCAGTGATGTCCCATGAAAAGTAAACTTGCCGCCATGGGTGGGGCACTTACAAATGCTCTAATTCCTTCAGCCTGAATCACGGTGGATCAGCAACTTGTTGCCTCCGAGGATCGCTGTTCTTTCTGGTAATATACACCCTGTCATCCCTGCTATTCGTTTTTATTAGTTCATCCGGTTAAATTTGGATTTAGGGTTGCCTGTGGGTTTAGATAATGCACTTTAAGATTTCTCCTGACCTATGTGGCGAGTAGAGGCAGTAGAAATGAGCAACTGGTTACTTTCTACTTATTCGTCTATGCTGAAGTTAATTATCTCGAATTTTGCTAAATTATGTAGACAGTCAATGAAATGTTACTTGGAATGTCCCCCAACTAGACAGGAATGTAGACTTTTCGCCTTTGTTAGGCCGGCCCGAAGCACCAGGAAAGTCTAATTTTAGCTCCGCATAAGAGTTAAAGGTGCAAAATTTCTGTTTGTCAACTGGTCTGTTTTTCACATACTGATAGCTCGTCAACTAAGTCTATTTTGCCTCCGCTTCCACGCTGACTGGAGCTGTGAACTGACCGTTTACCTACCCCGCCTTTCAGTCTTGCAATGGTAATAACATAGACGGTAGTGTGACATAAACTGCACTGGAAGATTATGGCCCAACTATCTACATGAGTTTCTGACCAGTAGCTGGTGTACAGCATCAACCCGAAAACCGGTGACACATGATGTTTTGAAGGAATTCATCTTGACCTTTTATTTATTCAGCTATGGGTCCACTATACTCTTGGAAGTAGATTAATCGTAAAGCTGTAGGCAATGGGGAGGATTCAGTCGTCGCAACTTGGCTGTCTGTCAGTGGTTCAGAAAGTCCACTGAGAAATTTCAGGCGGTGGAAATTTTATTTGCGCTTACCGTTTCCGTGGCCAAATAAAACGCAAAATCTAGCTGTTGGACAGTAAAATTTGTCCGATCGTCTGTGAAACGGAAAACTGCTAGATTTTAGAAATTCGCCATCGCATGCACTAGCCTATCCAGTTCAGTCTACCAGACATTGGTCCCTTGGCCGTGTGCTTCCAGCTGAGGGTGTATTCGTCAGACAGTGGAAGTCAGACGTGACACACTTTCTAGACCAGACATCACGTGCACCAGGCAGAACCAACTGGCTACTTATCGATCGACCACCCCCGTCCAACCCAAGTTCAGCCGGTATGTTTGCTATTGGCTGGATAAAATTACCGGTGTCTGGATCTTTTGCTGTCGTCATAGTGGCAAAAGCGCAACAGACTAAGTAAATGTCACCAACTCCGTTATTTGGTGCTGGTAATTCAGTACCATAAGAAGCGACACTGTGCAACCTCTGAACAACTAGCCCCTTCCCCCAAAGATAAAAACACAGCAGTTTCTCAGGATTGTTACAAAAAGGA